GTGACCACACCCAAGATCAGCCAATTGGTGGTGTTATGGCTCATCAGCCCTCATGTGGGCATCTGGAGAGAAGCACTTATACTTGGGAACCCTTTAACGGGATAGCCTGATTCCTTGGACAGGGGGCGGGGAGGGGCTCCCAACCAACTGCCCAATGAGACTAAGGATCCAACCCAATGCCTTATCTGCTGCTCGAGTCAGTCTCTCCCCACCGACTCAATGCCAAACCAATCACAGCTGCAAGCAACCCTTAATGCTCTTGCACATGTCAAGCAGCTAGAGCTCATTGCCTGCTGGTGAAAAGGGCACCCCCACAATTGGCTACAACCACAGGTGAGCCCCAATGGCCAGTGGAGAAGGAAGTGATGTTCTTCCCTGGCTGTGGACCTCGCTGGATGGACACCTCGCTGCCACAGCCATGCTAGAATGCAACTGCTGCCTCCCCTCATGTGGAAGGTAAGTAGCCATTGTTGCACCAACCAATTGTAACCGCACAGATAGAATTTGCAGGCATGTGATTGAACTCTACCTCAAAATAGGGACAGTCTGAAATATCCTCAATAAACAGAACCCAGGATGGGGCTATGCAGATGAAAAGGCAGGGTTATGCTGAGAGCGGCAGGGTTGCTTCTCAATAACTAGGGCTCACCAAGCCATGAATGAAGCTTAGCCTCCTTCTCTATTATTGTCCCCAAGCACGCCCATCTTCCCTGTGGGGAAAAGGAAAGTACTGCAGTTGGGAATACTGCTGCATTAAAGCACACACCTGCTTTCCAGCCCTGACAGTTTGATGGGCTGGCCCCTTCTGATGGGGATATGGCATGGCAGGGGGTCTGCAATATTTGCAAGGCCCTTATTCTACCCGATGTCAGGGACTGGACTAAGGAGGAATGGTGGGGACTGCCCTCCTCTTCCTGAACCTTCCCGAGAAGAGGAGGACAGCATAGATTTAGAACAGTGGTTTGCAGAAGGTCATAGTTCAGAGGCTGCAGAGGGGAGAAGCTGGGGAATATTGGGAGAGCAGCAGGGGAGAGACAGTTGACACACTCAGTGTCTTTAGAAAGCATTCCTGACGCCCCCTCTCCCAGGACCAGGCATGCATTGAGAGTAGTAGAACAGAAAGCTCAGAGGCAGAAAGCACAGATCAGCCAGCACAGGGATGGTGTAGAATAGGAGAGACGGAGGGGGTGGGACCTTACTCAGAGCAAGACAATTTTCTAAGAGAGACCACATTCCTTTGTCTCTCTCTGTGAATATTGAATAAACCACTTGGTAAGAACTCTTTTTGTTTATCTGCTTCTTGGCTGACCCCGTGGGAGGGATCGGATTCTCTGAAGCCTGACACCCAAGTGCCATCACAACAACAGAGATTTGGTAGTATGAAGCAATCAGGGCTGAAGCTCAGGGATAGTTTCCCTGAAATGCCACTTCATCACATCATCAGTGCTGCTGGTGATGATTTGCTAGAACTGCTGCAAGGCTTATTTACATTTAATCCTTCTACTAGGGTCACAGCTACTCAGGCACTAAAACAGAAGTATTTTAGCAATCGGCCAGCACCAACCCCTGGAAGCCAGTTGCCAAGACCCAACTGCCCTCCAGAAGCCTTGAAAGAGCAGCAAAACCCAGCTCCAAATTTGAAAAGGAAAAGACTGGATGGAATAGATCAAGGGTTACCAAAAAAAATGGTGTTTTGACTACTGTGGAAACGGGAATATTGGATATTGGTGGGTTGGTGGGTTTTTGGATGAAACATCGGCTCTGGATCCATTCCAGTCCAGCTTCCGCGCTGGTCATGGGACCGAGACGGCTCTGGTCGCCCTAACAGATGATCTCCGCAGGCAGCTGGATCGAGGCGGGTCGGGACTGCTGATTCTTCTAGACCTGTCAGCAGCCTTCGACAAGGTGGATCATAAACTCCTGGACCACTGCCTTGCCGATGTGGGGATCCAGGGCACAGTCCTTCAATGGCTGCGCTCGTTTCTCTCTGGTCGGGGACAGAGGGTGGCACTTGGGGGGGAATTGTCATCGCGCCACTCCTTGGTGTATGGAGTGCCTTGGGGTGCGATACTCTCCCCGATGCTTTTCAAAATCTTTATGCGCCCCTTCGCCCAGCTTGTCCGGAGTTTCGGGCTGGGCTGCCATCAGTATGCTGATGATACCCAACTCTATCTGTTGATGGATGGCCATCCTGACTCAGCCCCAGACACACTGATCAGATGTTTGGAAGCTGTGGCTGGATGGTTATGTGGGAGCCGGTTGAAGTTAAATCCTTCGAAGACAGAGGTCCTTTGGCTGGGAAGGGACGATATAGGATTGGGGGGGCAACTCCCATCTCTTGCGGGGGTGCAATTAGTGCCAGCACCGTCCGTTAAGAGTTTGGGTGTAATCTTCAACACCTTCCTTTCCATGGAGGTGCAGATTGCAGCTATAACAAAGGCAGCATTTTTTCATCTCCGCCAAGCTAAGCAGTTGGCTTCTTACCTCTCTCGCCCTGACCTAGCCACTGTGATCCACGTGATGGTCACCTCCAGACTGGATTATTGTAACTCACTCTACGTGGGGCTGCCCTTGAGACTGACCCAGAAACTCCAGCGGGTGCAGAATGCTGCGGCGAGACTCCTTACGGGGTCCTCGCTGCGAGATCACATTCACCCGGTGGCTCCCGGTGGAGTACAGGATCAGGTTTAAGGTGCTGGTTTTAACCTTTAAAGCCCTATACGGCCTAGGACCCTCGTACCTACGGGACCGCCTCTCTTGGTATGTCCCACAGAGGAACTTACGGTCTTCAAACAATTGATATGTACTGACGTAAATTTAGGGGAGGATTTTTTAATTTTAATAGAAAGGCAAAACATCTCACCTTAGTGGAGAACACTGTGACCAGTTGGCCTGTGTGCAGCTAATAGTTGATGGTTCACCTTTAAACCAGATAGGAGTTCCTTTATATAGGGATATCAGAAGAGGATCAGTTCCCAGTCACATCTAGCACTTTATCTCCCAAGGTATAGAAAGACTGCAGGCATGGCATAAGTACCAGAACTGCCCTTAGCTGTTCCCCAAGGTATAAAGTCTTTGTGACTGGTAGCCACTGATAATGTTATCCTCCATTAATTTGCCAAATCTCCTTTTAAAGCCATCTAACCGAATGAACACCCCTACATTCTACGGTTGTGAATTTTATATAAGAACAGAGGACTCTGCAAAGTATACCACCCTGCTCTCATTGTCCATCAGCATTGCAGTGCAACTTGTTGCACATTTGGTTTATTGGCCATGCTTCTTTCTTTCATGATTCACGGCAGGTGAATTATGCTGTGCTTCTGAGCAGCTGCAGAAAAAGTTTCTCTCCTTACAGAACAGTGCCGTACATTATCTTGTGACAGCATATGCCAGAAACCCTTCATGTGTGTGTGTGTAGGCAGGGTGGGTGGGTGGGAGGTCAGGAACCTCAGACCTAGGGGCCAAATGTAACCTTCCTGGCCTCTGTTTGCCCCTTGAGATTTTCCCCAGGCCACACATCCTACTGAGTCACCAGGAGTAAAAAGGTAAAGGTACCCCTGACCGTTAGGTCCAGTCGCGGACGACTCTGGGGTACTTGATTTCTAATAATGCCTCTTCCTTGCCTGGATGGAAGATAGATACGAGTGCATAGCTGTCAAGCGTCCCTTATTTGGCGGGACAGTCCCTTATCCCAGCGCTGTGTCCTGCTGCTGTCCCTTATTGATGATGTCCCTTAAATTTCCCGGGTTTCAAAGGAAGCAGCTCCTCTCCCTCCCTGCCTGCCGGCCAGGGAAGAGGGAGGCTCCAACTGTGTTGCTTGGCTGCGTTGCTCACCCAATAATGAGTCTAAGAACGACTGGGGGGTGGAGCTTGCATGCTTTGTGCCAATCAAATCAGCCGCATTGCCTGGGGACTCGCTGTTGCTCAGCGCTTCCCAGTGGAGAGTTGACGGTGATTTTCCTTGCTGCATCCCCTTTGCCCGGTTGCTGCGCTGTGGGAACCACCGCTTGAGGCTTTGTTTGGCTGCTGGCTGGGCTTTCTGCCTTTGGCTCGGAGGGGCTCAGAAGTTGAACATACCTGTGCTTGGAAAATCCCTTATTTTGGCTGCTGATCCCTTATTTTTGAGGCTGCTGGTCCCTTATTTTCAAATCTGTAAGTTGACAGCTATGTACGAGTGTTGCCTATTGTTGTTGTTGTTGGCATCCGTCTGTCTCAAGAGACAATGGTGTACACCTCCGGGGGTGAAGTCAAACCGCTGGAGAATCACAGTGACTGTGGGGTTGCGGAGACTGGTAACATAACTGCTGCCTCCCACACTGGTTTTTGCTCTGTTAGCAGCAGCAAAGTGACCTCTCCACTGAAGAGAGCCAGTGTGGTGTAGTGGTTAAGAGCAATGGACTCATAATCTGGTGAACTGGGTTTGATTCCCCGCTCCTCCACATGCAGCTGCTGGGTGACCTTGGGCTAGTCACACTTCTCTGAAGTCTCAGCCTCACTCACCTCACAGTGTTTGTTGTGGGGGAGGAAGGGGGAGGAGATTGTTAGCTGCTTTGAGACTCCTTAGGGTAGTGATAAAGCGAGATATCAAATCCAAACTCTTCTTCTTCTCTTTAGGGTGCAAGCCTGGGCAGTGTGAATGGAGGTCCTGGGTTGCCCAGAAAACCAGACCTCCCTCTTGGCTTTGCCAATGTGGTCCAAAGGAAAGCAGAGCAATGCATTTGGCACAAGTACGGAGGTAAAATTCACATTTGTTGCTCTACTCACTTTTGCCTGTGCCCCCTACCCACTGGCATGTGGCCCTCAGTAGGTGTCCAGAAGGAAATATGGCCCCGAGATGAAAAATGTTCCCTCTCTCAACCTGACAGGCTACCATTGAGTCTCCCTGGTTCTCTGTGAGGACCACTATACCCATATTGATGTATCCCTGAGCCACTGAAGTTGTTGCACTGTTTCTTTTTATTATTTTTTATTCATAATAAATAATACAATATATTACAGAGACCCTCATAATAATAAATGAAATTGCATTAAACAGAAAATAAACTCAGCAAGACACCGGCCAATGCAGAAAACAGCAGTCTTTCCCCGCCCAGCTCAAGTTATATAACACTTTGGAAAGGGTCAATGGACAGATCATTCTTTCTGGATTGATTTTCCTTGCACATCTCTGACTTCCCCCACAGCTGCAGGAGGACTGACTTTTCGTCCAGCTCCTCATCATACCTGTGCTCACCTCTGGATGAAGCACCCAAAACTACCTTCCCTTTAATTGGGCTGCCAACCAAGCGAACAACAAAACTCTCCCCAGACATTTCAGTTTGTTTTTAAATCTGATTCTGTTGCCAAATTATTTTGTTCAACAGCCAGAATTTGAGGCTAGTAAGATTTTTGTTTTAAGCTGATTTTTCTTTTCTTGAAGTGAAATTCAGCTGCACCTCTCCCACTTAGTGTACCTGCAACATGTCTTGATCTCCGAAGGTGACCCACCTCGTATCCTCAGGAGCTGAGCCAAATGGTCCATTTCACACACTGCTGCGTGAGTGACTGAGCTAGCAGCCTGCAGTTGTGCCTGTTTTCTCTGTGGCCACACCTTTCCCCTGACCAAGGCAAAAGGAGTTGCAAGGGCCCAGAGCCACAGGGGAGATTTTGTTCAGGGGCAGCAATTGAGATTACTCTCACACGTGATCTCCTGTGCAGATCCTTCACCCTTCAAGCACAGGCCGGGTCTAACACCTCTGCCAACACCAGCTGCAGCAGCAAACCTCTGGATTTTATTGGCTCCACTCCCGCCAGTCCCATTCCCCCATCCCAACTCCTGGCTCTGCCTCCTCTAGGTCTTAACCTCTTGATACCTGGTCAAACGCAAATGCTAGCAATCCTCTCACACACCGACTAGAGGCAGAAGTGTCGAGCTGGAGCAAGGATGTCACCCAGCTAAGGAAGGGGCCTTGTGCTTTGTACAGTAGATCTAGAAATTGTTTCTCTTCCTTTTGCTGCTTGTTTGAACCCATAGAAGATGGAAATCAAGGCAAGGCAAGAGTCAGGATGGTGTTTTCCTTTTCTCCGTGAATGTGGCAGTCTTTTTCTTTAAAGGCTAGGGTGTTTCTGTGGGATCGTCTCACACAAATTCTCATCTCCCTGCCCAATGTATCACTCCCTAAACCCCACTGTAACTCCAACCTGAGGGGTTCATGTGAATATTTACAGTTTATGCGGGCTGGAGATGTATTAAGCATACAAAAAAGGGCTAGTTGCAAGCATTATTGCATATATGAAGCTGGACCAAGCCTAGGAAATTCAAGCTCAGGCAACTTTGCCCCCAAACCCTAAAAGCCCAGAGTATATGTGGACCTGGGGGTACTTCTCCTGTAGCCCATCAGGAAGGGAAATATAAACTGCTAAAGAAACTATTAACACACCCACCCCTCGCACAGTTGCAAAAGCTAAGGTGCCAGGCATAACTCTAGAACACTTGCAGGTCTTTGCCGGTCCTGAGACGTTACAATGCAATTCTTGTTTGGTGCAGCACTTTGAATGCCTTGTTCCCAAAACGGACTGTGCTCAAACCATCCACTTTCCAGCTTTCTTCTTCCCATGCACCCACACACACACATGCACCCACACACACACTCATAATGGTTATTTACACAAGTAATGTCCACCTGATTCCCTCTTTGGTCCCCAGGCATCAGTGGAAGCTATCTTGGTTCTTTAAATTGCAAGGCATTTGGTCAGTGTTCATTTGGCATCAGGGGGTGTTCGAGTCTTCTCTACCTTGTCACCCAGAGCGTTCTCATTTGCAGGAGGCCATTTCTATGCTTTTCTCTTTCTCTTCCCACTCTTCTTCCGACTCGTAAGTGCCTTTCACAATGGCGACCCTCTCTGACATGTTCATTGGATGAGGCATCAGAAGGTAGTTGTAAAGCAGAGAAGCCACAATGCCTCCAACGATGGGGCCTACCCAGAAGACCTGAGGAATCAAGGGAAGGAGTTAGAAGCTGTCCAAAGACTTTCAGGCTCCTTTGTGCCAGCGAGGCCAGAGCAGAGATGCTTGATTCATCTTGTGCCGTATCTTCCATGCAAGAAATGCCTCATGGGTTTGGGCAGAGGTAGGCAAGCTGCAGCCCAAGGCCGAGTCTCACGCAGCCCTTGGCCTAATTTCAAAAGCATTTTGCAAGCTAGCCACTCACATGCCCTCCAACATTTCTCCAATGAAAATAGGGATGTCCTATTTAATAATAATGATAATTTTACTATTTATACCTCACCCATCTGACTGGACTGCCCCAGCCACACTAACAACAACAACATTCAACATTTAAAAACTTCCCTATACAGGAGTGACTGCAGATTGCTTGGGGGTCGAATAACTCCATACCCTCCAACATTTCTCCAATGAAATTAGGGACATCCTAAGAAAAGACGGGACATTCCAGGATCAAGTCAGAAACTGGGACGGCTTCTGTAAATCTGGGACTGTCCCTGGAAAATAGGGACACTGCATTCTGACTTAGCTATCTGCACACAGTCTGCTAAGACGGAAGAGAGAGAGAGAGAGAGAGAGAGAGAGAGCGAGAGAGAGAGAGAGATTGAACGGGTAACACATAGTAAGAGAGAGGTGGAGGGGCAGAGAGAAATAGGAAAAAGGGAGTGGCACAGAGAAAATGCGGGAGAAGGGGTGACAGAGAGAGAATGAAAAGGGGTGAGAAAGAAAGAAAGAAAGAAAGAAAGAAAGAAAGAAAGAAAGAAAGAAAGAAAGAAAGAAGAGAGGGTAGGAGAGTGAAAGAGGTTGACACACTCGCTTTTGGCTCTAGCCCCACCCACTGATGACTTCTTCCTAGCCCCCTGCCACCATGCAGCCCCCAACAGATTACTCCTAAGGGGATGTGGCTCTGCAATGTAGATAGTTGCATGTGGAGCAACAGAGAGCAACCCCTTCCTCTTTGGTCGGCCAGTCCCAGAACAGGAATGGGTGATGTCTGAACCTGAGGGCCAGACATTATAGCTATTTCCCCATGGTTCCTGCTTGGGCAGATCTTCTGATGAATTTCAAAGGAAGCAAAAGGAATTTTACTAAAATTTGCATAATTTCTCAAGGGTGCAATCTCTCTTTCGTCAAAAGCAAAATTTCACAGCAAATTTGGAGGTCCCTGGCTGGGCCAAAAAAGTCAAGACATTTTAAAGGAATCAGAAATGGTGGTTGGAAATCTGTACTTCCTATTTGGATTTCAACTCCACATTTTAGGGACCACAGATGCAGCTACAATACGAAGGAGAATATATGGGAAGGTGGCCAATTTCTGAGTCTTCTATCACCACCATTGTGCTCATGGCATTGTGAATCTTGTTGAAATTTGGTGGCCCGACACAGTTCTAAAACATAGATGAAAAATTACACACACATCAGAGTTACCCAACATGGTGCCTTGTAATTTAAAGCTCCCATTAGTTTCTGCCAGTATGATCAATATTTGGGAAGTTGTAGTCATCTGAAGGGAACCACATTGTCTATTCCCGCTGTGCATTATCTTTTACACTGAAATACTTCTGTATTAAAATATGTGTGACTTTGGTTTTGCATCCAGTAAACCCTAGCCGTGCAGCAGCTAAGGGTCAGTTTTCACTGCTTATTTCCTGTGACTGTCTTTTACTTCAGAGTGAAAAGCTCTAACTTCTTACCCAATGAGCACTGCTGAATCTTTTCATGACAACAGCAGGTCCAAAAGACCTGGCAGGATTCATAGAGCAGCCAGTAAAATAGATCTGTGGAGAAGAGGGGAGGTGTTCATTAGGCATCTAAACATTTCTTGTAATTCCATTGTTTATAATCTTCTTTTAAAATTCAGTTTTGCAGTACACATTTAAATTCAAACATTAGACATAACCATCAACATTTAGGATTCCCTAAATCCTTTGCCTTTCCTCCACCCTTCCATGATTTCCATTTTCAATCTTTTTCAACTGCATCATATATTTTCTCTATTTTTCTTAAAGTAGTCCATTTTTACCTTCTTTATAGTACATTACAAGCATTACTCAAATCCTGCCAAAGCTTTTAGCTGTTTACAGTGTTCTCTTAGGTAATTTGTAAATTTCTCCTGTTCCTTATTAAAGTTTCTCTCTTCCTGGTTTCTGATTTTCCTGGTCATTTTTGCCATGAAGCCTAGGATGGCGAAACAAGGCTAATATTCCGGAAATCCTTGTCTGAGACTCTGTAAAAGGATTCTGTGGAACTGTAACAACCCTTCATGTGGATTATTGGACTCTTTGAACAGACAGGTGGAATAGATACTTATACATGCATTGACCATATGCATGAACTGACTAGAGAATGAACTGATCCACTGAGTCTTCTGCTTTTTTTGTTGAACTTTATGAGACTTCTGTTGAAATCTACAAATTGATACAATGAATAAGGTAAAGGGTAAAGGGGCCCCTGATCGTTAGGTCCAGTCATGGCCGACTCTGGGGTTGCGGTGCTCATCTCGCTTTATTGGCCGAGGGAGCCGGGGTACAGCTTCCAGGTCATTGGCCAGCATGACTAAGCCGCTTCTGGTGAACCAGAGCAGCACACGGAAATGCTGTTTACCTTCCCGCTGTATTTATCTACTTGCACTTTGACATACTTTTGAACTGCTAGGTTGGCAGGAGCAGGGACCAAGCAACAGGAGCTCATCCTGTTGAGGGGATTCGAAACGCCAACCTTCTGATCGGCAAGTCCTAGGCTCTGTGGTTTAACCCACAGCGCCACCTGTGTCCCTTGATACAATGAATAGTATACCTTATTTATTCAAAAGTACAGCCAGTTACGTTTTGTGTGTTTATTGAGTATGTTCCACGTAACCATAGGTTTGTTGTTGTTGCTTTGCGAACGTTAGGCAATCCCTGCAAATTCTCCCTTCTGGCATTCCCCACACCATGGAGCTGCTATCAGATTCTCAGCCCGGCCATGCTTGGTGTGGTGCGAATCCTGCTTGTGTGCACAAGCACTTCCATGCAAATGCTGCATCTCTACACGAGGGCCATGGGTTCCCTGCCTCTGCTCTACCCAAACAGGCCATAGCTCTATAGTACAGCACACCTTTAGCATGCCAAATGTATTTCTTTCCAATCCTGGCTTCTTCAGGGAAAAAGGTACTGGTAGTAAAGGATGAGAAATATGATTGTATCCAAAGCTAGTCTTGCTCAGAGTAGACAGAACTAAGTTAGTCATATCTGTTCATTTTGACGGGTCCACTCTGAGTAGGGCTAGCATTGGATTCAACCCATACTCTTGCCCAAAACCCAGGAGAGCCATTGCTGCCAGTCAACACTGGGCTAGATAGGCAAACAGTCTGACTTGGCATAAGACTCTCCTTCCTTGGAGGTTTTTAAGCAGGGATTGGGTGGTCATCTGTCATGGATGCTTTAGCTGGGAATCATGCATTGCAGGGGGTTGGACTAGATGAGCCTTGGTATCCCTTTCAACTCTACAGTTCTATGATTTTATGAAGACTGCTTCCTACTGCAGAAATGACAGAAGCCATAGGATTCTTTACATGGAGGTGCCACTTCTCATCTCCGCCAAGCTAAGCAGTTGGCTCCTTACCTCTCTCGCCCTGACCTAGACACTGTGATCCACGTGACGGTCAACTCCAGACTTGATTATGGTAACTCACTCTACGTGGGACTGCCCTTGAGACTGACCCAGAAACTCCAGCGGGTGCAGAATGCCACGGCGAGACTCCTTAAGGGGTCTTCGCTGTGGGATCACATTCACCTGGTGCTATACCAGCTGCACTGGCTCCCGGTGGAGTACAGGAACAGGTTTAAGATGCTGGTTTTAATCTTTAAAGCCCTATACAGTGTAGGACCCTAGTACCTGGTATGTCCCACGGAGGACCTTATGGTCTTCAAATAAAAACATCTTGGAGATCCCGGGCCACAGGGAGGTTAGGCTGGCCTCAACCAGAGCCAGGACTTTTTCAGCCGTGGCTCCAATCTGGTGGAACGCTCTGTCACAAGAGACTAGGGACCTGTGGGACTTGACATCTTTCCACAGGGCCTGCAAGACAGAGCTGTTCCACCAGGCCTTTGGCCAAGGCACAGCCTGACCCCCTCCTTTGGTAATCCTTACAGAACTCTAGCCCAATGGTTGCCATTAATTTGAGTTTGAATTGATTTTAGAATGAATTGATTTTAGAATGCTGTATTACTTTTACTGTTGTTAGCCACTCTCAGCCTGGCTTCGGCTGGAGAGGGTGGGATATAAATAAATTATTATTATTATTATTCTCCCTGTGTTCAAGTGACTGTGGCCCCATATCACCGCCCCCCCAAGTGATCAGCACTCAAAGCTGCCACGATGTGGGGGGCTTTTCACTCTTTCCATCTCCACCTTCCTTTTGTTTCTGTACCACCACTTTGTTTTCCTCGCAGAAGGTCGCAGGTTCAGCCCCTGCCACATTGGAGAGCTGCTGCCAGTATTTCTGGACAAACCTGAGCTAAATGGACTAACAGCCTGACTCAAAACATCGGACAGCTCCCCATGTTCCTAAAAGAAAACCTGAGCAGAAAAACACTTACCCCAACGAGGTGGCCCAGAGTGACAGCCAGTCCGATAGACAGGGATGGGGAGCCCACATGGTCGCGCCGGCGGCTGTCAGTCGAGGCAAAGATGCACATAACAAGCATGAAGGTTAAGATCATCTCCACCACCACAGCCTGGCCTGCGGTTGTGTTATTGCTGAGCTGTCAGGATGGAAGAGAAGAGACTGCGGTTACAATCTTGCACGTTCATCTCTGGAACTAACTCCTGCTTAAAACCAAGAAAAACTACTTCCAACTAAGTAGAGGTTACTCTTAAGGGTGGTTGTTAAGAAAACAACAAACCCCAAAGTGCAATAGGACTTCACGGTTGCTATTAGATTTCATTCCTCTGAGCTGCATTTCACTCTCTACTTGGACGCTGCCAAGCTTGCTGGAGGTGTGGTGCTTAATAATACTAAATAAACAATTCAGCTGACTGAGCTTCAACAGAACTAAACTGGAATTATAAACCCCTCTCTATAGCACAGGAAAGGATCTTTAAGAAGCAACAGGAGTTGGCGTTATACAAGGCATTCATTGTTTTTTAAATGGTCTATCACTCTGTCCATCTTTGTATCTCTTTTATTTCCTTCATTTATCTCTCTTTTGTTACTGATTTCTCATACAGTCTCATTAACCTAGCACTGAGATAGTATCTCTTGGCAAATGCTTTATCTCCTTCAAATGCTCTTTACAACAGCTAATACCCGCTGAAGAACAATGCAGGGGGAAGCTATGGGATTTGCAACAATTCAGGAGAAGATCCGAGGATTCTCTTTTGGGCAGCCTTAAAATAATGTTCCCTGGCTCCATTAAATGAGTCTCTGGCTTCCATTTAGAAGAGGGGAGTTAGAAGGAATTATAAGCATTTGGGATTTACATAGGTATGTTGCAGGTCAATGAAATTCACGGGGGGGGGGGGGGGATAGATTTTAAGCCCTCTGGTCAGGCAGTTTGCATCTTTACACACATGAGGTTTAAGGTAATTCTTGCTTTTGGGGCAGGTTTGTAATGCAAATATCAAACCAACAGTGGGCAGGTGGCTTATCTACATTACAAATGTTTCTCCTTCCAGCTTCCTCTTCTACATCGACAACAATCCAGAGCTACAATTCAGTGTTAATGTGGATAACGCAAGAGAGATTGAAATGCAGAGCAGTCCGAAGATTCCCCTTTGCAGTCTCTGCATGCTAACTAAAAGCTTAATAGGAACAGAAGAATGATTGCTGGTGAAAATTTAGGAAACAAGGGGAAGTAAGCTGGATCCTTAGCTATAGCGCAGCACTGAACAAATAGGTAAAAAAATCTGATTTCCTTTGGTAGGAAATTTGTGCCCTTACAATGGAAACCTGGAACTTGCAGTTGCCTTTAACACTGACTCCCTTCCCTTTCCACAGCAGGCGCTGTAGCACTACAAGTTTGACTTTACCCCTGAAGGCACACTCTTCTGTTGTCTCCCGAGACATATCAATGCCAACCGTCCAGCCTTAATGCCTTACAGATGCTTTGGACTAAAACTCCCCCCATCCCCTAGCATTAGCTCTGCTGGCTGCAGCTGATGGGATCTGCAGTCCAACACATCTGGAGAGCACCAGGTTGGCAAAGGGTGTTCTGAATTTTCACTATGTTCTGCTTCCTACATCCTCCTCCTGCTGGCTTAGCTGGTCTTTCTTGTGCCTTTTCATGTCCAGGTCTAATGAGGATTTTAAACCTTCCCCTGATGGTCCATTTAATTCAATACACAGTCCAGCATAGAGTTTAGTGTGTTGAAGACTGTTGGATCATTCAGCTTCATCCTGGGCTGAACTGACCTTTCACAGGGATCTGAAGAGATCCATGCTCACACACGGGAAGCAAATGGGAAACTCTGTGCTCACAGGTGTTGGGCTTGTGTGTAGCTAATTTTCTCTTCCTTCCCGCATCCCTGAGCATAGTACTGAATGCTGTCCACTGGACTGCAGGAGTAGCTTTTGGCGTGGGAAACCCAGCCAGATGGGCAGGGTATAAATAATAAACTGTTATTATAAATTATTGTTCCATTGGGAAATAGTGGGAAAGAAGTCAATGCCTTTCCAAGAGGACACAAGGCAACATGCACCCACTGAGCATCAACAGTTTGAAATGGTTCCAAGTTATTATCATTTTGAAAAACAACAATTCTAAAAGGAACCAACATCTGTACATCTGCCCTGCTCCCCTGATCATTCTTCAAGTGGTAAAGCTGGAGTTAAAGAAAATGTATAGTTCCTTCTCTCTCTCTTTCTCTCTGGGACTGGCTGACTCAATTGCTTAGAATATGAGACACCTTTGGAAGAAACGCCACATCAAAAATTACAAGGCACAATTAACCAGCCCTGCCAGCAAACTTCCACGCCTATTCTTACTCTACAGCATAATGTGCTGGTGGGATCTCTTGTGCCACAAGCTCTCCAGAGGCTAAGTCCAGGTCTCTCCTGAGAAGCCAGTTCCCCTTTGAGGGGCACTTGCCTGCCCGAGATGCCAAACCACCAATATCACGAATCTAATCCACAGCCGCAGCAAGTACTTACCGCATTGACTGCCAGGTTGCCACGGGCATTAGAAGGAGTCACCCCATAAAGTATGCCTGCCCCGGCGATGGCACCGATCAGCTGGGCTGCAACATAGAACAATGTCCGGAGAAAAGAGATCTGGTTCCCTACAAAGAAGGCAACGGTCACTGCTGGGTTGACGTGGCCGCCGCTGATGGGACCAAATGTCTGTACCATCGTGGCAATGGCCAAGCCGAAAGCCAGGGCGATCTGGAGGACGCTTGGCAAGGCCGAAGGCCATTTCAGGGCTGAGCCCAAACCGAAGAAGACGAAAAGCAGGGTGGCTAAGAACTCGCAGAAGACAGCTCGGAGAAAAGCGATGGTGCAAATTTCTTTTCTCATGGTTGCACTGGAGCAGGTGGAATGGCAATGAAGGTGTGAAAGTCTCTGCTCTGTCTGGGATGCCAAGGGAGTGAAGCAAAGTGCCGGGCCATACAGAGAGAGATATATATCTACAGGTGCTGCAATAAAAGATCGTCTCCAGGTATGGGCGGAGCCAATAAATGTGGCCAGTCCTCCTCTTCCCCCTCCTGTTCCTGTGGAGTTTGGAAACTTTCCATCTTCAGACAACAACTGCACCTTCCTCTCTTGTAGGCTCTAATATTGGTGCTTATTTTCTTCTTTTCTCCTTCAGACAATGGGGTTTCTATTGAATAGCCTTGCTGTCATTAGATAACCACAATATTGCATAATGCCACAGAGATTAGCACCTTGTTTGTTTACCTTCTTTTCTTTCCTTTCCTTCTCTTTTCTTGTTCTTTCAGTTTGTAAGACAAGGCATTTCATCTCTATTAAGCTTTTTTTTATTTTTTAAAAATGCACCCAGATATTCGGCTTCTAATATGCCACTATTCCACCCTCCCCCTTCTCAGGACTGAAGAGTGGAAAGTAATCGGGCAATAATTGTGGACAGCTCTGCAGAACTGGATTCTCCAGTATGCCAGTGCAGGTCTTGAATGCATTTCTTTTGAATTGTTAGGAGTTTTTGGTAGTTTGCTCCAGAAAATGTGAAAGCTTTTGCCCTATGTTCCTATCTATCAAAAAAGAAGGTAAAATAAAACAATGGGTACAAATCTACATGCAGCCACTTGCTGGAGAGCCGTGAAATGTATCAGCAGTGTAGAGGTTTAGTTTACAACCTGTAAAGTTTCAATAGGAGTGTAGAACCTGGGGCATGTGTTTATTTAATACCATTTGGATAACTGCCCAGTATTACATGTTATCTGGGTGGCTCACAAAAATTAAAAGAAACACACACACACAATGCAAAACACTGTAAGTAGTACAAAAGCAGCACTTGTTCTTGTTTGGAAGAGAAAAGAGCAAAACTATTAATAGCCCATCAAGCACAATTCATAAATTGAGACAGGTAGTAAAAGCACAGGTTGCTTAAAAGACTGGATGATTAAAAAGGTATTTCACCTAGTACTGAAAAGACCATAAGAATAGTACCAGGTGAACCTCTCTGGGGAGACTGTTTAGTAACTGGGGTGCCACCACCAAGAAGGCCCTCTCCCATCCACCTCACTTCATTTGGTGAGAGCACCCAGAGTTGGTCCTCTGAATAGGATCCGTCTGTCTCTTTATCTACCTGACTGCACTGGCTGCAAATTTGTTTACTGGCCCAGTTCAAAGTGTTGGTTTTGACCTATAAATCCTTAAATGGCTCAGGACCACAACACCTCAAGGTTAGCCTCTCCCCATAAGAACCAAACCCTGCCATCATCACCTGGGGCCCTTTTTCATGTGCCTGCTTCAAGAGAGGTACAGTGGGTGGGAACATGAGAAGGGGGCTTTTCTGTGGTGGCTCCCCATTTGTGGAATGCTCTCCCCAGGGTGACTTGCCTGGCACCTTCATTACAGAACTTTAGGCACCAGGCGAAAACATTCTTCTTCTATTGGACGTTTGGCTAACTAAACAAATGATGTGCTTTTAAACTTTGCTTGTGTGGGGTGTTATTATTTTGTTTGTTATCATGTTATGCATTTTTGTGTTTTTATCTCATAAACCACCCTGTGATCCTCAGAAGAAGGGCAGTATAGAAATATAACATTAATAATAATAATAATAATAATAATAATAATAATAATAATAGAAACACTTCAAGAGAATCCCATGGTCAACCATATCAAAAACCACTGAGAGAGCAATAAGGTTGTACTCCCCATGTTTCTTGGACCCAGTCCAATTCTTTCTCTAAACATTGTCTGAATCCTAAATTTCATAAATAGTAATAGTCTAAACCAGGCTGCTGTTTTAGTTGCACTGGGGAAAACATTCAGGTGTCTCCTACATAACTAATTAGGTATTCAGGGAAAGACAATTTAGACTGCAGAGACTGTAAGGAGGGAAGATTTGAGTGTGCCCAGTACCTCTTCCATATCCTTCAAAGCAGCTGCATAGGGATGCTAATTTGTTTTAGAAGGAGATAACGATAATGAACTAGTTTGACCCTAAGCATTCACATGATTGTCTATATTGCATTGCTCTTGTGCGTAGTGAGACCTCTCACATTGCTTGGATTACCTGGTTAACCACACAGAATATTCAGCTGATCAGGGAAACAAAAAATGTGCATTTCAGCTTCTGTGAGGAAATGAGAAATTGTCAGTTTGGCTGGGGTTAAAACTCCTAACAGAGGCAGGCTAAGGGCTGGGAAGAGGTCCTTGGATATAGAGACACTAAGGGGCAGGGAGCTCAAAGGCAGGGAAGGTGAAGGAAAGTTCCAGAATATGCAATCAACTGAGTAGCAGAAGGAAAGGTAGGTGGAAAATGAAATTTAAAGGAAAGGAAAGAGGAGGCAGGAAGCTGCAACAAGAAGTGGGCTATCAAGGAGGGAACACACACAACTGAAGCTCAGGAGAGGCTGTATTTCCTTAGAGGGAAGAAGACAGGAGCACTGCAGAAGGTGGGCCGAGATAATGAGTGGCTATGGGAATGGGATAAAGTGTATAATAGAAACTATTGCTTGGTGGAGATGTGAAGAAGGAGGCAGGTGGAAGGGAGGAGAAAGCAGGACAGGGACAAAACTGGAAAGCTGAAAGGAGCTGTGTCCCGCTGGTAGGAAGTACTGTATTTTTCGCTCCATAGGGCGCACCGGCCCAGAGGGCGCACCTAGTTTTTTTTTTGGGGGGGTGGAATAAAGAAAAAAAATTTTATTTCTCCCCAAGGCACGGGGCTGGGATGGGGGAAGCCCGAGCTTCCCCCGACCCCAGCCCCCAGAACAGGCTGCTATCCGCAAGCCTTGGGAGCCCGGCGGGAAGTCGCGCCAGTCTCCCCAGGCTTGTGGAGAGCTGCCCGAAGCCCAGGGCCCGCTGTTCAGTGCTCCCCAGGTTTCGGGCTGCAGGCTGCTGTCTGCAAGCCTTGGGAGCCCGCATGAAGTTTGCTAGGTCTAGAATACAGGCCCTGGCAGAGTAAATCAGGCAGTTAATGGCTTTAAATGTTGTGGGTGGCGCTGTGGTCTAAACCACTGAGCCTACGGTTTGCCGATCAGAAGGTCGGCGGTTTGAATCTCTGCGATGGGGTGAGCTCCCATTGTTCTCTATCATTGGGTAGGCTATTCTGAAGGTAGGGATCAGGGCTTATAGTCCCCCACCCCTCCTGTAGAATGTGTTAATGCAGGGATCCGTTTCAGCAGGAAACAAAGCAGAAAGTGCTTTTTTATTATTTGGATTGAGTTGGGGATGGGGGAAAGGACACAGCAGACAGTCTGAGTTGCTTTCTGGTGCTGGAACATCCCATAGAAAGCCGGTCTGGAGCAGTCTGTCTGGGATATCTCTTGAGATTAAGATGCATACTATCTGGGGTGGCCATCTCTGTTCATCTAAATAATGAGGAGCAACCTATGCCTGTGAGTGACAGGATGCTAAGTGTCACAGTAGAGGAATTGTCCAGATTTCCATGAGGGGCAAAAGGGAACATCCCCCTAGGCCACATGGCCATTGACCATGGGGATTTTATTTCCCCCTTAAGTCTGAGGCATGTGAGCCGGTTGGCTTGGATGAGTCACCTTCTAAGTATTGGTTCAGCCAGCTCTTTCATGCAGTGCACCTGCTCTGTGGTTTATGCACTGTGTCAGCAAAGTTTAGGCAACACGATGACCATGTGCATACGCAATAAACAATCTTGATAGAATTCCTTCTAACTATAACAAGTACAAATTGAAACTTTAGTCTCAAAGTCTCTGAAGATCTGGAAATGAAGCGAGGTACCAGATTTTGTGGGACGCGGGTGGCACTGTGGGTTAAACCACAGAGCCTAGGACTTGCTGATCAGAAGGTTGACGGTTTGAATCCCCGCGATGGGGTGAGCTCCCGTTGCTCGGTCCCAACGCCTTCCAACCTAGCAGTTCGAAAGCACATCAAATGCAAGTAGATAAATAGGTACCACTTCAGTGGGAAGGTAAACAGCGTCTACGTGAGCTGCTCTGATGTGCGGCTTAGTCATGCTGGCCACATGACCCAGAAGCTGTCTGCAGACAAACGCCGGCTCCCTTGGCCTATAGAGCAAGATGAGCTCCGCAACCCCAGAGTCGTCTGTGACTGGACCTAATGTTTCAGACCTTTACTGTTGCGGTAGCATTGTGGCCTGACTGTTTTAAAAGACCAGAATAAAAATCCCAAAGCCATGATGGATTGCATGTGAAATAGATTTGAACTAACCAGCTATTTACTTGGCTTATTGTCAAACCGGTGTTCTACGTCACAATCTTTATCTGTCCCCAAAAGATCTTTATGGGGCAGGTTCTGAGAGTGCCGATTTTACAGGGAAAGAGCTGAGGTTGGGACAGCAACTCAGCCAGGGCCATGCGGCAAGTCCTAATGGCCAAGCAAGGATTTGACTGCCAGAAGAAATCCAGGGGGTGGATTTCACCAAACAGAAAAGACTGGAGATTCCACAGGCAGTTGAGGACTGAAATAGGTGAGGCTTTGCCGGGGGGGGGGGAAATTAAGCCACTTTTCAATGCTTGTCAATAATAATAATAATAATAATAATAATAATTTATTATTTATACCCCGCCCATCTGGCTGGGCTTCCCCAGCCACTCTGGGCAGCTTCCAACAAAATATTAAAATACCGTAATACATCAAACATTAAAAGCTTCCCTAAACAGGGTTGCCTTCAGATGTCTTCTAAAGGTTTGGTAATTATTTTTCTCTTTGACATCTGATGGAAGGGTGTTCCACAGGGCGGGTGCCAGCACCGAGAAGGCCCTCTGCCTGGTTCCCTGTAACTTGGCTTCTCACAGCGAGGGAACCACCAGAAGGCCCTCGGTGCTGGACCTCAGCGTCCGTGCAGAACGATGGAGGTGGAGACGCTCCTTCAGGTATACTGGACCAAGGCTGTTTAGGGCTTTAAAGGTCAGCACCAACATTTTGAATTGTGATTGGAAACGTACTGGGAGCCAATGTAGGTCTTTCAAGACTGGTGT